CCATAAAGCTGAAGGGTAAACTGTTCTTTGCTCTCCTAATTTGCTTAAAGTATCAGCCTTTATATGTAAATCCTGTACCCAATTTGACTTTATCCTGGTATATGGTATAAAATGTTGATCTATGCCTAGTGAGAGTTTACTTCTAATTAAAGTGTAAATAGAATCTAATCTAGGTGAATTCCAGCCCTACAAGCTTTGGGCTCAAGCCCTTAAACCCCACCCTACCCCCACACCCAGGCCATGGTTCAACTTAAATCGTCTAAATGAAGATGGATTCCTTTGTTCAGAGTGCTGGAGGTGGACGAATCTCATGATCAAATCACATTCTCAGCAGAAGGAGCTGAAGACTTTTAGCCCACCTCCTCATTAATAGGTCCAGTCCTCACTGATTGATCACCAATCAGTGTTGATCTCCACCTGTCAGGGACATTCAACTTTACCAAAGGTATTTAAGCATTTGATGAATTCCATGGTCTTTGTCTTTGATTACTGAGAGAAACCACTGACCATCAATGCATTGATTATTTGCCAGCCTAATTAATAAATTGATTATTAATTACCCAGAAATTCTGTCTGTCAGGCTTTTCATTGGTCTCAGGTTTGATATTGGAATGAAATAAAATTAACTCTAAAGGACATATAAAGAAAGATACTAATTATAACCAAAGAAAGAACTGATAAATAAAAGTATGTATAGAATAATTTTACATGTATATACCTGTTTGTGTCTAATGGTAGCCATCTCTAGGGTGGGGGGGAGAAAGAAAAGAAATTTACATGATAATCTTCTCGCATACTTGAAAGAAATAGCAAGTTGTACATAGTAGATCTACAATTGCATATGCAACCAACTTTTTTATTGTCCTATGTTATGGAAATGCTTGTTTTATTCCATAAATTAAAAATAAAAATTTTAAAAAAGGAATGAAATAAAACACCTATCATAAATGTGATAGTTAACAAAATGAGGTTCACTTAGCCATAGCACAATAGTATTCAGTAAGGACACTACCTAGATTCAGCTGAACAAAGGTCCCCTGACTTTGTGTGGCAAAGACATGGCTGTCTGCCTATAGAGCACCAGGGCTCAGGCAGAGTTCCTCATGACTTGTATTCAAGTGAACAAGGAGTGACATCAACAGACTGAGCCTTTAACCTGGTGAGCCAACCAAATCTCTAAGAGAGTTTTCATACCTTCTCAGTGCAAAAAATTTATATAGATATGTTGATAGATACAGACATATATGTGTATATTTTATATAAGTGTGTATATATAACATATTTATGTATGTGTATATATACATTACAAAGAGAGAGAGAAAAAACTAAAGACAGATATCTATATATAGATGTATGTATGTGTGTGCTTGCAGATGTCCAGACATGGTTGTTGTCTAAATATAAAGACAGCTTAGCTTGAGTATGGCATGTCTAATCTGTCTAATCTGGCATCTAGCCCTCTCCTCTCTGAAGTAGCCTGAGATTTCTGCTTTTGTGGGGAAGAGAAAGAGGGTCATAGCTGGGTCCTTGTTCCTTCCTTCACCTATCTCCAAGAGGGATATGGGGCAAGAATTATGTAACTACCTACCAAATATCAAATATTGGTAGTCTAGGCATACCAAACTCTGAGGCTTAGGATAAATGCGCTTTCTATGATAGCTCTCAAATTGAAGATAACAATTTAACTTACTATTGATAACTTAGCTCCTTCCCACCAAATAATGGTTACACAAAAGAACATTATAAATAGCAACTGAATCTCTTTATCAAAAGTAATCAGTGTAGAGAAATTGGAGAGATTGTCCAAATTAGGATAAACAACAGAATACACCAAAGTAAACCAGAGCTCTTTGGTTTGGGAGTAAGATAAAAATACCTCAGAAGGAATAAGTGACCCTCTCAGATTCTCTCAAGCCACCAAGCAAGTGACGTCTTAGATCCTTGTATTGCTGGGAAGGGTTAAGTCTATCAGTATTAGCCATTGCACAACATGACTGTTATTGTGTACAACGTTCTCTTGGTTCTGCTCACTTCACTGAACATCAGTCGATACAAATCTTTCCAGGTTTTTCTCAAGTCAGCCTGTTCATCATTTCTTATAGCACAATAGTATTCCATTACATTCATATGCCACAACTTGCTCAGCCATTCCCCAATTGATGGGCATTCACTTGGCTCTACTTGGCTCTTATGTGACCACGGGTAAATTACTTACCCTCTCTGAGCTTCATAGGATTATAGTTCTAGAGACGGAATGTACCTCAGAGACCATCTGGTCAAGCTGGGCATTCACTCAATTTCCAATTCTTTGCCACCACGAAAAGAGTTGCTATAAATATTTTTGTAGATGTGGGTCCTTTTCCCATTTGTATGATCCTGGCAAGCACCCTCTTATTAAGGTGGGAATTAGTGGGGCCTAAAGTCATGCCCCCTTCACCCTCCCCCCTTAGCAGGTGGTAAGAAGATACACAGTGTCCAGGTAGTTAAACCTCACCAACACATCAGTCAACTTTCTGTAGTCTCTGTCTATACTATCCTTTCTGATTGTCCAGTAGGGTCCAGGAGGAATTGGGTGGGGTGGGGTGGGGTAGATGAATATGTATCTAGAAATCAAATGCACCTGCTTGCCCTGCCCACCTCCCTTTATCTGCCTAACATGTAGAATGGAATCTGTTCCAGGTTTTCCTTTCCAGGAGTCTCAGTATTAAGCTAAAAACATGCCATCAAGCTGGAAAGTCCTGGGATAGAGCCTGTTAGACCTTTTCCAAAGTCTGATATGTTTATGGCAATATTCACCGGGCAGTAGCTCAGGAGCCAAAGGATTACACGGATCAGATGTAGCCAAACCAGCATTCTATGAAGGACCCTTTGACTCCAAATTGAGTGCTCTTCCCACTATGCCATGGTGGCTCCTATGGCCTTCTCTGGAGATATTTCAAAGCAAAACTGTGGGTTCCCAGAACTGACCCAGGCTTGCACAAAATAAAATATGCAGTTATAATTATATCAAAATATAGTTTAAAAATTTTTTAAAAAACAGACCCAGGCTAATAGTAATACTAGCTAGCATTTATATAGAACTTTGAGGTTTGAAAAGCCTTTTACAGATATCACCTCCTTTTTATCTTCTCAGAAACCCTGGAAGGTAGGTGCTATTATTACCCCCATTTTGCACAGGAGTATATTGATGCAGACAGAAGTTAAATGGCTTGGCTAGGGTTACACAGTCAGTAAGTGCCTGAGGTTAGATTTGAACTCAAGTCTATCCTGTTTCCGAGTCCAACACTCTATCCACTGTGCCTAGCTGAGTAATGAGTGACTGGAAACAAGGAGAATAGACTGCTTGCCCTGGTGGGAGGAAGCTCCTGCCAGGGCTGAAAGCTTGGGCCATTCACTTCAGGTAGAACATTACCCTCTTTAGGCTGCCAAGACAGATCGTTCAGACTCATAGAGACAGTCATTTTCTACGATGTTTAGGTAACACATATCTATGTTTTGAGGTGAACTGACTCTTTCAGTCAGTCAGCAAGTACTTATTAAACATTTATCATATGCCATACACAGTACAAATTTCTGGGGATACAAAGAAAGGCAAAACATGGTCCCCGCCCTCACAAAGATCACATTCTAATGGGAGAGACAACTTGTAAACAACTAGATACAGATAGGTGTTCTGTCCTTTTCAGTCAAGCCTAGCTCTTTACGAGCCTATTTGAGGTTCTCTTGGCAAAGATACTGGAGTGGTTTGCCATTTCCTTCTCCAGCTCATTTTACAGATGAGGAAACCGAGGCAAACAGGGTTAAGTGACTTGCCCAGGGTTGCACAGCCAGTCTGAGACCAGACTTGTACTCAGATGAGTCTTCCTGACTGCAGACCTGGTACTCTATCCACTTCCGTAACTAGCTAGTAATCTTAATGGGAAGGCACTAGAAGTGGTTGGGTAGGGTTAGTGCAGCCAACCACTCAGCTGACCACTGCGGCCCCAGTACCATTGTCTTTGGGCACACAATCATTCCAGCCCCTTCAGCTGTCAATGTAGCATCCTATCACTTAGAAGCAATCGATAGAACTTTGGGCATGGAGTCAAGAACACGTAAGTTCAAATCCAGTTTTGGAGATTTACTAGTTGTGTGACCCTGGGCAAGTCACTTGATAATATTCACAAAGTATTTGAATTTTGCTCAGTGAAAGGAAGCAAAGATTTGGCTTATGGTCCCAGCTTTTGCCACTTATTAGCCACATGGCTTTGCATAAATCATTGAGTCAGGGCAGCTAGGTGGTGCAGTGGATAGAGCACGGACCCTGAAGTCAGGAGGACCTGAGTTCAAATCTGGCCTCAGACCAAACACTTGACATTTACTAGCTATGTGACCTTGGGCAAGTCACTTAACCCCAACTGCCTAAGCAAAACAAAATAAAATAAACCATTGACTCTCAGCTTCCTCCTTTGGGAAATGAGGCTCTAAAGTCCTTTCCAGATCTTTGAAATCCATATAATCAAAGGACAGTCATACCTGAATGCCTTTATTATTAATTTTAGCTTTCATTTCCATGGTATTTTAGATTTACAAAAAACTTTCCCCTGGACAACCAGTGATAGTGCCAATATTATTGTTCTAATTTGATAGATGAGTACATTAAGGATTCAGAGTTGGAGTGACTTGCCCAGAGTCACAAAGATAGTAAATGTCAGAGCCAGAATATGAACCTTGGTCTCCTGGCTCCAAGTTCAGTGTTCTTTTTACTAAGCAAAAGAGACAATGTCTTTAGAGAGAACTTTGGGGTTCTCTTCCCAAGTCGTCATCAGCTGACAGTACTATTTACAAAGGCATATGCATCCTTTGGCGTTTTCATTTCCCTGGAGGAGAGAACTCTAACTTCTGAGTCAATGTTTAATGGAAATGCTTTAAATGTAGTTTTAAAAAAAAAGAGGCTTGAAATTTGCTACTGTTCTCACTTTGTTTCGTTCTTTTCTCTCGCTGTCACTTCCACTTTTCAGATCTTATGTCAGACTCGGAATGAATGAAATTATGCCTCCCTTGGAAGAGAAACTATAATTTCCAGTGGAGGAAAAACACACTCAAAGCTCTTCCCTCCAGCCTGAATCAGCCGTTCAGAGGATCTGAAGATTTAGAAGATCCGTTTGTCCAAAGGCCTCCTTTTACATACGAGGAAGCTGAAGACTGGAAACGTGAAGTGACTTGCACCAAGGTTACAGAAGTAACAGTTAGTAACAGACAGGAATTCGAACCCGAGCTAGTGAACTTACAGGCTATCAAAGAAGCTCAAGGATTCGTTGGTACCTCCTGATCCTGCAGGAGGCAACAATTCTCTCCTTCCCTGTAAATTAAGGTAGTTTTGACGTGTTCACTTAGACTTATAAAATGTTTAGAATTTGACGGAACTTTAGAGATCAAGTTCATCTGCCTCCTTCACTTTACAGGTGACAAAACTGAGGCAAAGAGAAAAAAATTTTTAAAAATGAATTGCTGAAAGTCACTCAGTAAATTGCAGAACCTGAATTCAAATTCTGATCTTTCTAGTTGGGTCCAAGTCCTTTAGTCTGGCTGCTACACATGCCAAGACTTTTCATTAATAGTTTGGGTGACAGGGCAGTTTTTCCAAGTCGGAATAAAACTGAGTTTGAAACCCAAACCAACCATGTGGCTTACTAACGTAGGTGGGAAGGGGTTTGCTTCCTGGCTGGAGGACGCAGCGGAAGCTGGTGCTCCTCTAAATGAATACGCCCCTAACTATCTTATACTGCCGGAGTGTAACGTCTAAACTAGCTGAGGGGGCGTGTGAGCCCCAGCGAATCCTAGCTAGGAGATCCTAACGTCAAGCCTTAGAACCAACTTTAGAGACCATTAAGTACAGCCCCTCTATTTTACAGAGGAGGCAGAGACCCAAGGCTAGCAGGTAGTAAACCGCATTGTCAAGCTTTGAATACACACCTTTTGGTTCCAAGCCCATCGCCTTTCCTCTACATCAGACATAACCGGGCCTCTGGGGCGGCTGGGCAGGAGTTTCTGAGCAAGTAGCCTCAGAGTTGAGTCCGGAGAGGCTACTCTGGGCTGGAGGTGGGGAGTAGGAGAGCAGATCGGGTGTCCAGTAACTCATTGCCAGGTGTTACTAGCTAGGGGAATATAATTTCCTTGCTGGTGGGGGAGGGAGGGAGGAATAGCTTGGAACTGGCACTGGCTCCACCCCAAAGCTGGGCGGACCAGCCCAACCCAGCCCAGCCCAGCCTGGCCCTGCCCAGTACAGTCAATATATGACAACTGCCCCGTCCGCAGAGTGGGTCTGAGCTCAGGAAGGGCAGACTGGTGAGAGGCTGCTGCGCCGTCGCTGCGGTAAGGAAATCCCTCCTGGGGAGGTATCATGAGCTGCGGGCAGGACTAGCAGGGAGTGGCCGCCTGGTGTTCTGTCCTGTTCCCTGGACACCTCTCGGGTGGCTTCCTCAGCCGTATTTGGGGACTTGGCCTCGGGATCAGTCAGTGTGTTCTCGGGGAGTGCTTCTCGCTCCCCCAGGGGCCAGGCAGAGCCTCCTGGCTGGGGAACGGGGAAACTGAGGATCCCGAGGGAGAGCTGCGCACCCTCAGTTCAAGGCTCCGCCCTCCATCTCATCTTAATCTGGACCTGGGAGGCTCCTCCGGAGCTCTTGAGCCGCTCCGCGGTGCTCTTTGGGGCCGGGCCTCGAGTGCTTCCCCGCAGAGTGGGTGGAGCAGGCAGAAGCGGGTGCCTCCGGGCAGGCGAGGTGGCTGGGAGGTGCTGTGCTGCTTCCCCCGGGATTTGAAGCAGACAACTAAGCCTTTGGGGAGACCGAGCAGGGAGCTGGGGGGGCGGGTGCTCCCTGGTGCTCTTTGGTGCCAGAGACTGTTACTGCTCCTTGCACAATCCAGGAAACTTGCCATGTTTTTAGATTTGGTTGGTTGGAGTTCCACAGGGTGTGGGTGTTAAGCGTGTTCTGAAAGTCAGGAGCCCTTTGTCGAAATACTAGCCCTGCTGACTATTTCAGCTAATTTACTATCTCACTTGGTTGCTGTGAGGAAAGTGTGTAAACTTTAAAGTGCTATAAAAATGTGGGTTTTCCATTAGACAGTAGATAGAGGGAATCAAGAACCCTGATTTTGGAATCAGAGGACCTGGGTTTGGCCATGGTGCTGCCATTCACAATGAATGAATAAAAAGGTTGAGCTTAATGGGGGAGGATGTCCTTAAATTTTTATGTGGCTCATGGACCCCTTTGGCAGTCTGGTGAAGCCTATGGACCCCTTCTCAGAATAGAGATTTTAAATGCATGAAATAAGGAGGACTGCAAAGAAAACTAATGACATAGGTTGAAAACTGTGTGTACACATACATACATACATACATACATACATACATACATACATAAAATTCAGGGATCCCAGGTCAAGAATTCCTGGGCTACAAGAGTCTCTAAGACTGGAGACGAAATGTATGTTCTCTTCAATTCTATATCCTATGAGGGCAGAAAGAGTTAGGTGCCTGTGATTGTCATTGGTACTGTAGGCAGGACTATTCTGCCTAAATATGGCCCAGCTAGTAGTTTCAGTCATTAATACTTTCACTTTTTAAATAAAAAACTTTCCATTAGACCCTAGCAGCCATTCTAAGTTAGCTACAATGAGAAAGGAGAGAGAGAGAGAGAGAGTGGATTATGCGGAAGAGAAATCGGGACTGGTGGGAGAAAAAGAAGTTGCCAAAAATAGAACTTTTAAGTCACAAAAATTGTGACCTCAGGGCCAGCCTCAAAAAAAAAAGCCTCCAATAGAAAGTGGTACCTTAAGCTGCTTCTTGGAGGAAGCTAAAGATTCTAAGAGGATGGAATACATTCTAGGCAAAGTAGATTTCAATTTATGCAAAATATGCTGAGTTCTGGCAGCACCAAATAGGCCTGTATACCTAGGGGAATAATGTGAAATAACAACTGACACTACTGAGCACTTAAAAGTTAGCCAAATGCTTTACACACATCTTTTCATTTGAGGTACATAACAACCCTGTAAGGTAGGCACTATACATATTATTTCCCCCACTTTACAGATGAGAAAACTGAGGCTCAGAAAGAACTTACTTTTGGTCCCTGAGCTAGGAGTTGTCAGAGACAAGATTTGAACCCAGGTCTTCCAGAGTTCAGTACTGAACTAAGTCTGGAAAAGGATTGTTGTTATTGTGCAGTTGTTTCAGAGGCTTTGTAACTCCATTTGGGGTTTTCTTGGCAAAGACACTGGAGTGATTTGCCATTTCCTTCTCCAGCTCATTTTACAGATGAGAAAACTGAGGCAAACAGGGTTAAGTGACTTTCCCACAGAGTCACACAGCTAGTAAGTGTATGAGGCCAGATTCGATGAGTCTTTCTTGACTTCAGGCCTGGCACTCTATCTACGTTGCCACTAGTTGGAAAGGAAGGCTGGAGCCAAATCAAGCCGAATTCTACCCAGTTTTTGTGGATATACATTTCCACACATAGTTTCAGGAAGGGGGACAGAACCCAATCCAACAGAACATAGGCCAATGACTTTCCCTTTTATTTTCTCCTCCCTTGCGTTTGGTTTAGGATGGTTTTCTTAGAGGATCTGAAGGGATGGGAAAGCCTAAGAGTGAGAGTTTTTCGCCTTTCCAAATCACACACACACATCTTTTCTTAGAACAAATTCATTTGCTTATATCCGCTCACTCATTTGTTTTCCTGCTAATGTTGCCTAGTCTGATCCTCAGGCCTTTGTAGGTGTGGCAGCAGCTTTTGGCTACCTTTCCAGTTCTACTTTTAAATTTGTGTCAGAATAATTTATTAACCAAATCTTGGGGTTTTTTCCCCCTCTCCAGCTCTTCCACATTTCCATCATCAAGAGGTAGTTTCAGGCTACACCCTCTCTAGCAATGGAGAAGCTATGAGACAAAGCACACTGTAGACACTCCCCATCTCCCATACCCGACATTTTTATATCAATGGAATAGGACTAAAGTGAACCTCAGGAGGAACCTTAAAGTGGAAAAAAAAGCCACGAAAGGGCAAGCCTGGTATACCGAAAGCCTCACTGGATGAAGGCAGGACAGCCTCTTTGGAGGGGCAGCGCTGCTGAACACTAACTAACTAAGAGGTATCAGAGTCTGGTGGAAAGATAGCAAGCATGTGAAAGGTCCTATGTTAGGCGACACATCAAAAAACAATCTCTGCCCTTAAGGATCATATTCTACTAGGATTCGAGTCAGAGAATTTAGGTTCAAATCCCAACTTTGCCATTTAATAGGTGTGACTTTGGATATATATTACTTCTCCTTTTGAGGCTTTAATTTTCTTATCTGTAAAACTAGGAAGTTGGACTAGATGATCCCTAAGGCCCTCTCTAGATATATTATTTTATGACCTTGGGCAAGTCACTTGACTACTATAACCTACATTTTTCTCTGTAAAACAGGGAAGTTAGATCTGAGTCTTCTAGCTATGAAACTGAAAGATGTGTGATAGGAGAGAAGGGCGGGCTAGTGAGAGGGGAGAAACTGTGGGGTTTTTTGTTATTTTGGTTTTTTTTATACTTTAATAAGTTTTTATTGATATGTACTGTTTCTTACATCACCATAGTATCCCATATACCCTCCTTCCTCTCTGTCCCAGAGAGCCATCCCATAGTACACATAATATTTTTTTAGAGGGGAAAAAAATGTCAGCACACTTGATCAATATGTTGAAAAAGTCTGCAAATATGTGCAATGTATAACACCTGTGGACCTCCCACCTCCACAGTGGGGTAGGTTGGGAGTGTCTTCTAATAGCTCTTCATTTGAATCTTGCTCTATCTTTATACTTTTGTTATTTACTTGTGTGTGTGTGTGTGTGTGTGTGTGTGTGTGTGTGTGCGCGCGCACACACTGGCCAGCACTCGAGTTGTTCTTTCCATTTACATTGTGGTAGTTACTGTGTATGTTGGGAGGGGCAGCAATGCTAAGTTTGTATTTGAGCTTCAGGTCTTATTTAGTATTGAGGTGGGACAGAGCTACCTGAGCCTTGTTGGAAATCTTTGACTTCACACAATTCCCAAGGGAGATGGAGAAGGAAGGAGAGAAATGGCAGAAATGGAGGCCTAAGTCTAAATCAGCTTTGCTGACATGTACGACCATCTTGTGAAAATGTAGGCTGAAATAAACAGGGCTTACTCAGTGAGAAGCGTGCAGGGATACATCGGCTATATTTCCAGACCTCTAGCACTTGTTGGGAAATGAGTGGTAGGTTGCCTAGGCTAGTCTTCCATCCTTTGGAAAGTGGTCGGAACTGTTTTTATAGCATTCAGAGTTGCGAGGATGAGGACAGAATATTTCATTTTCCAAAGGAAAACATTCTTTAAATACAAATCTGGCTAGAGTAGAACTGTAGGCTCTTTGTTAAACTCACAGTAGAGCAAAGAGAAGCGCAGAAAGGGCTAGAGGCAGGAAAGCTCTCCGAGATAGGTCTTAAACTCTCAGTCCCTGGTTTTCCTCTTGTTTCCTGTCTCCATGTTTTTGCTCAAATATTATATT